AACATTGACAACAATATAAACAAAATATATACAAACTAGCTGTAAACAGACAGCGGCGCCATAATACATAATACACAACTAAAAAGTACAGTTTACGACATGAAACGAAACGATACATTTGCCTTCTAAGTTACATATAAATAATTACAACACTCCAGGCGCTCACACAAAGATGCAAAGATCACCAAAATCAAACCTGTGCTGCTTAAAAATAATTTCCATGCCCTTGTCATTCTCATGCACTTTAAATTTCCTCCTTTTTTAAAATGAGTTTTAATCAACTCCTGCAGTTTCAGTTTTTCACTGATCTGAAATTTTAAGTGGTACTATAGTCATTTGATGTATGTAACAAGTCTTTGTACTTTACCCACTGTTCTTTAATCTCATTGTCACAAAATCAGATGCACAATTGTAGGATCAAAAGCTGACATAAACATTTAAATTATTGTGGACTGATTGTATCAACAGTGAATTTTCTTGTGTGGATTCCACGTTTTCTTGGCTTTATCATTCCAGTAAACATCTTCACTTAAGGACTTTGCTTTTAATTTACATATTTTAGAAACACAAAATTGATATGCTTCAATGGATGATAAATTACTTTGCTGCAACATGTTGCTGATTAGCTACATCAGTTAATGGTGTCTGGTCATAAAACCTCCAGGACTTTAAATGTGGGGTTTCTTTCCCAGGGTTTAAGTTTATATAAAAAAATACTAACTAAAAATCAAAATTAACCTTTAATTAAGTTTAATGACCCACGTTTCCTTACTATGAAGTCCCAGCGTAAGGGGAATAACACTAAAATACTAAATGATTAATTTTACAGTAATCAATTAAACTCATTTCTGTATATAACCTATTAAAGCCAAAAAATATATTTATTGTAGAGAAATGAAACCCCTTAAAACTGATAAGTATGCCAGTAATTAACATATAGGTATTGGCAGCAACAACAAAAAACATGGGGAAAAAAATGCATTTTAGACAACTATTTCTTTATTTAATTTCATTTAATGAAAATTATTTGAGCTGAACATGGAACTGGGCACTGCAGAGTTGATCACATAAATGTGTGTTGCACAAAAAGACATCCAAAAACAGTCTCTGGTCTCCTACTTCCTTCAGAGTGGACATCCATCTGGCCACACTGGTAACACTTTTTTGTGGCCAGGGAGCCTAATCCTGTGGTGTTCAACAGAAGCACCAGACACTGCCAGTTATAGCCTCTCTGGACCCTCTTCTTAGATGAGCCCTTCATCAGATGTGTTAGTCATTTTACTGTATGGAGGGGGGGGGGTATGAATTTAAAACAGCCACCTCAATCAAAAACCATAAGGCAACATCGCCATTTTTTGCTCTTTCTGGCAACGGGATAGTAGGACTTAAGTTGTACACTAGATTTGCCTGGGGAATCTGCTTGTTTGGAAGTGGTTATCAGAACTCTCTCTTAGATCAAATACAAATAAGGTCACTCTTTGGCTGCTGAATAGCATTCTTTTAAGTAGAAATTATATTGTTTGTAGGTAAAACTTAAATTTATAAAATATTTATATCTCCCACCCCACTAAAACCTATTACATTTTTACAAATTACAGAATGCATGTTTTTGTTTTGTTTCTTTTTCATGAATCTGGTACTTGAGGCTATCTTGAGGATTAATCACTTGTGCTACAAAGTTGTCTACCCTGTCCTCCAGGTTGGATTTGGTGGGAGGTACGAACGGCATATTAGGCCTGGTGTTTGGAGTTGCTACTCTCACAGATTCCCTGCATGGGCATTCGTCTTGTACAACCTGATAGCTGCATCCCTTAGGACAATGAAGGTTGCCTTTTGGTCATGAAAGACCATATCTTCCAGCTGGCGCCTAACAGAGGGTTGGTTGAGGTTCTGAACAAACTGGTCTCGCAGGAAGACTGGACTCATAGGGGCCCTGTACAGGTTTGCTTGCCTGGCTGTAAGCATCCTAAAGGCTTGGTGTAGACGGTGGGAATAGGACCTCACTGTCTCATTTGGACCCTGTACCACCCTTTGAATTTGAGCCATCAGTTGGGGGATGCTGCGCTTTCCCCATAAATGTCCCTATGGAGTATTGTTGACTCAGGGTCCTTCTCTAGATGCTTTGCCAGTCTTGTCAACTTAACCTCAGGTAAAAAAAAATATTTTTTTTCAATTTGTGATTTGTTCAGCTATTTTAAATATTTGTTGTTGAAGTATCTTGCTTTATATTGTCAACATTCGGTAGACTGCTTTTAAAATTTTTACCAATTGTCCCTCATACTTTTCATAGCATTTCTTTCAAATAAATTAGGTCAATTTTGCATCTGTAAAATAGCTTTCTATTATTTAAAAAAAAAACAGTTCTATCAACTTTGAGCATGGTCTGTGTGGTTGGGTCGGTAAATCTCATAGCTGCTGAACCAAATAGCCCTGAGTACGAACCCTCGTGCAGATGAGGCTCGAAAGCTAGGAGCGACCATTCAACTAGAAGAGAAAACTTCAATATCAAACAACTGCTGCCTTGTAAAGGCTATGGAAGCAAATCCTAAAAGAAAAGCAGGCTGAATTCTGAGTCAACTGCTTTTGTGGCGCATAACAAGTTGACATATAATATTTAATTGTGTTGGAAGGAGTATCTTCCAACACTAGAACTAAGAACAAAGAAGAAAAAGAACTTGAAACATGCTTAGACCTTTCATAAATTAAAAAATGATCGTATGACCAATAGAATGTAACTTCTTGCACACTTCAACACAAAATATATTAATGTAAATCTTACTTGTTTTTGTTACAGAATCTGTGTCAGATTGATGTACTATTGGAATTAGACATTGTCATCGGAATTTATCAATGGACTAGTGATGGAAGGCATGAAATTACAAGAAAGAGTTATTTGGACTGACATTTGTCTGTTAATGTTTATACTTTTTATTCAAATAGAAAAATTAATTGAAGTTTCAAAACTGGTTGTACTTATTGAATGCCTGTTGAATATGAATGGATTGCGAGTTAAATATTGTAACAAATTGTAAAGCAAATTAACTTCAGTGTGAAGAAAAATTGAAGATCAACTGCTAGGAAAAGTTTTGGTACCAATCCACATAATCTTCAAGCCATGTACTGATATAATTATTGTTTATGTAATTGCTAGCCATAGTTGTTGAAATGTAGTTATAGCTTTAGTGACTCAATCAAACATAATTAAAAATCTTGAGTTCATGCAGTTTATCTACAATTTACTTACAAAATCTTCATTCATTCTTTAACTGAAGGTTTCAGTTACTTAGATTAAGCACTTGCTTCTGCCCTAAAAATGTTTTATTTATACTGAATTATAGATCTTGCTTACACTTAGTTTATTTTATCATCTGAAAGGCATTTACTTATTAGTTATTATTGGGCAGATGAAGTGTTCATGTTTCTTGACCTCGGCATATAAAGGATAATGTGCTAAGCCGCCTTTACTTTCCCTAACGTTGGGTAGGCTCAGGGACGTTCCATTAACTTGAACCCTGATTTGAACTCGAAACTATCGGGTTAGCAGTCTAACGCTCCACCGCTAGACCACGTCGTCCCATGGTATTACACAAATAACCTACATATTTTTTTTTTGAGAAACTGACAATAAGAATCACTTTATTTATACAGAAGGCAACAATGAACAAGTTAGCATTTACTTTATACAGCAGTTGGAACATATGTTGCAAAAGAATAACTCAGCAACTTGCAAAAAAAAATCTGCAAAATTTAAAAGGAAAAAAAATCTAAGCATCTTAACTTAAATATTTAAAAAAACTTATCAAGAGAGAAATGCCCTTTAAATTTAAAAAAATCAAAATTTGTTTTACTAAATTAATTGTAAATTAACTGGTGCATGGCAGGTAGTGCGTGCAACCCCAAGCAACCCATTTAGGAGAAAACTCTGAAATAAAACAACTGCTACATGCAGATGCTACTTACAGATGCTCTAATAACGTGAACCAATACAAAGGTTATAGTTAAGTTGGGGAAGGCGGTCGTTAAATAACGTAAAACAGAGAGTGATCCTTCATGAGTTTGGGTGCTCTTAGCTAACATGAAAAGTGTGTAGTTGCGTGTCTGACACGAGGTGTCATTTTTTAAGATAATTTAAATATGTATGATATAGAATAATATAGATGTATATTGACATAATACTGAGCTTCAGTGAGTTGTGGACGGTTATCATTACAAGTCCCACAACTGCTGCATTCTCCGCACCGGTATGTTTAGTAAAAAGTAGATTATTGCCCATTGTCGTGGACAGATCGTTTGAGTCCTAACTCTTTAAAAAAATTGTATCGCTTGATTTAAGTAAGCTTGTTTATTAATTTTGTCCTGAATTTTTTTTTTTTTAAACAAGGGTATTTTAAAAAATCCCATTAGTAAGCACCTGCGCATGACCCGCGCACTCTAAACTAGTTCCGTTGTAATGTGTAGATCTATCATATGCTGCTCAAAAATTCTCCGCTTGTTTTTATTTTAACTTTTAGAAATTTTCTCGCAGAAATTTTTAAGAGTATCAGTCGGCTTTTCTCACCAATTGTCAAGAATTTTCAAAAAGCAACCCTAGGTTTAAGCCAAATCTAAACTACCAACAATATTTATTTCTAGTTAGAAAAACAAAACAAAAAAATTAGATTTTATATCTAGATCCATATTCTAATTATTCTTATTTGTAAATTTTGATTTGCTTCGGTAGGAGGTGCCCCCCCCCCCCCCCCCCCACCACCACCACCACCACCACCAAAGGATGCCTAAAGAAACACCTCAGTCGATATTTAAAAAAAACAACAAATAATAGGCTTTAGACCTATTTGACTATGCCCTATAGTTATTAACTTATTATACACAACTTCACAACTATGTTAATCTACTCACTAAAAATATTAAGAAAGATGAAAAAAAAAACTTCATAAACCGAATAAAAAATTTATAAAGCATTTGACTAATAAAAGACAAAGTAATTTTATTTATTCACAGTGAAATCTGGTATTTGCAGCTAACATTTTATAAATCAATCAAATATATACCATTCAAACAAGACTTTAAACAAATATTCATTCATGGCACCTTAATTTTATCAAAAGTAGAATTTTAGGTTGAGATTAGGTGGTAGAAATAGATTATCCCTTTCCTTGCATAGGCCCTACATATTTCGATTGTGGGTAACAAAACAGATTCCTTCAAGTTGCAAGTTGGTTACAGTTTAACTTTTTTGGGTTTGACACTAAAGTACTAACTACTTGTGTATGCTTACTTAAAATTTTTTTATTAAGATACATTGCTACATTTGAAATATGCAAATTTACCTTATTATTTTAATTAGCTTACGTTCTGAAGTCACAAATAATAGTAAGTGAAAAATGCTTACAAATAAAAAGGACCAGTTTACTATTTAGCAGACCACCATTTTCAGTTATGACACATGATATAAATTAAAAAAACTTTGTCAAGAACAATCAATAATTATATAAAAAATAATAACACTAAAAACTGTAATTTAATACACAAGTTTCAAACAAAAATATCATCTTATTATTCTCCAATAATTTTCTTTATGGCAAAAGAAAGTTCTTCTGACTTTCTCTCCAGCTCCTTGATTTTCCCTGTATCCTGAAAGTTACAAGGTTTCATAGAACACAATATAAGCTTCAAGGTTAATGTAATGCTAAGAGCATTCTATTGCATACCAATTTTAAAAATTGGTAGTCCTATATTATATTTGAAAATCCATTACATACCTGCAGTTTTTTCAAGTCTTGATCTATTTTGTGTCTTTGTGTAAAGAGATCTACAAGCATCTGAGGCTGTCTAACTCTTGGGCTTGATCTGGACCCAGATCTGGATTTAGCTCCATCCTTTCCTGATTCTTCAGTAGACTTAATCTTTGGGACTGATGAAACAATCTTCCCTGGTTCATCAACCGACATACCAAAAGCTCTAGGGCCTGAAAAGCTGAAGCCCACATAAAAATAAACCTTTTTCTGCCACATATTTTTCCTGTTGACCCGATGAGATGTCAAAATACTCAAAGGAAAGGTGTTGCCTTCTGGTGTGGTAATGTGTAAAGTAACCTTCTCTCCTTCATTTGCAAGGATCCCAGTCTGTAATCTAAGTTTTTTTCTGACTTCAGGGATTTGCCATTTTTCTTGAAGAGAATACTCATTCATCATCTGCAAATTTTCATAGTAAACTATGTCCTTCAATGGCTCACCATTGCCTAGGAAAAATAAAGTTGTTTCTCTTCTTTTTAAAGATATTTCTTCCATGACATACTTTGGATATTTTCTTTGAAAGGCCTCATGCCAATTTGAGAGTGCATTAGATAAATCCTTTGGCAAACACAATCTGCATTTTTCTTGCCGCTCTTCTGTTGGAAAATTATACAGTACAAAGTACAAATATGTTTCTAGGTATGGTCTATCCCCTGACTTTTCCAAACCCAGGCTGTAAAGTCTTTTGGACCATTCCAAAATATTTTCATAATTCAAATCTTTCAAATTTCTGGGTAAATTTTGATCCAACAAAAGAACCGTAACTGTATCCAACAGTGCTTTCATATTGTCAAAGTTTGTCATTTTTTTACTTATATTTGTATGCACTAGCTTAAATATTTCTACCAAATTGTCATATTCTTTATTTTGTCTCATTTTTAGTAGGCTGCTTAATGAAGTTGCACCAAGTTTTCTTGCACGTCTATATCGATATTCATTTTGGTCAGACTCACTCAGATTCTTAGGAAGAAAATTGTTCTGCTCAGCAAAGTAAACATCAAGATTTACTTTCAACTCAAGAAGTGATAGTCTGTCATACTCAAAATTAGGTGCATCAATCACCACATTTATATTTCCTTTAATTTGTAGATATTCTTCATCCAAACGTCTCATGGCTTCCTTTGAACATTTCTCTAAGTTTTTCAAATAGTCACATTCACTGCTGCTTAGAAAACTCAGGCTTGGTGGTTTGAAATTCTGCTCTACCAAATATCTGTGAAGCAGATCCCCTGAGGAGAAAGCTGGACTTAGCTTCAGTGCACTCAGCAGTAAAACTATTGCCCTCAACTCACCAAAGTAACCAGCAAAGTTATTATCTCCATGTGTGGTTATCTCCCTCTCACTGATCTTTTGTTCTTTTCTAAAGCATTCAATGCATTTTTCTGCATACTTTATAAGTTCATGAATTTCTCCTTCCTTAAAGCCCTCTGTTCGTTCTAATGTTTTTTCAGACGCAATTTTATCATATAGTTGGTTTTTAAACACTTGACCATATGTATCCCAAAGAAATGAATTTGTTGCAAGCATATTAGTTGCTCGTTTTGCAAAAAGTTCAGCTTGTTCCCAGTTTTTTAAATCTATATAAAACCTGGCTATTTGTTGTGCAGTGAATGGGTCTTTGTTTAATTCAAATAAAGTCTCCAGTAATTTCACAGCTTGCTCAGAACTTTCTGTCTTTTGAACATGCATAACAAATTTTGAAAATTTGTATTTTATTATACCATCAGATTTAAATTCTCTTTTTTTCATTACATTACTAATGATTGACTGCAGTTGACTTGAATCAACACTTTCTTGTTCAAAAACGCCAGATTGTAATAATTCAAACATAATTTCACTTTCCTTCTGCTCAGTGCGTTCTTTCATTCTTTTCAGAATTTCTTGAGCTATTATTTTGTTGAATACTCTAACAGTTTTTTTTGTTGTAAAAGGTTGGCGTTTGTTGGAAGACAAATTTAATAAAACTGTTACCCCTTGACTTAATATTGCTTCCCACTTAACATTTCTAGTTATTGATTCAAGCTTTGACCTTTTAAAACTTTGATGGTCTTCTACCATTTTATCTAAACAGGCGACTGGAATCATTTTGAAATCAGGATCATAGTTATTTAGTAAGGCAATGATTTTCAATAAGATTACCTCCCAGTCTTTTTTGACATCCTCTGAAAATTCTTTTACAACTTTTGAAACATATTCTTTATTAAAATTTTCTTTCAATATATTGAAAGAGATAAGAAATTTAGGGTTTACATTTGTATCTTTATTTGTTTCAAATCTTTTTGTAAGGTTATCATTTTTTTGTTTGAACCATTCAAGCTCAGCTGCGGTTAGCTCTTGTTTCAGAGAGACCTGACCAATTTTTAATTGCTTAGGTAAAGATGCTCTTCTGATGCATTGAATGATGGTACAGTAAACATCAAAAGGCTCCTCTGAATCCTTCCAACGCTTTCTTGCCTTTTCCTCAAGAGATCCTCTAAGCCGGAGACATTGTTCATCATCCTCATTATCTATTAAAATTAAAAGTGGTCTAGGGTTATGGTCATTATACCTTCGTATTTCATCTAACTGTTCGCAAGTTTGATCACTTATGGTGAGCACCATGCAGCATCTGAACTCTTCGCGGATGTCCCACAGAACTTGTTTGGCTGAAGTTGTACCGCCTGCTCCAGGTTGATGTAAAATTGGCACAATTGTAATCCTGTCATCCTCATCTTTACCTCTCCCTTCCAAAGCATTTCTTACATTGTTCATTAACTCCTTATGTATATCACGTTTCAATACTTGGTCATGGAAATAAAAATTCAACCAGTCTGCCTGCTCGCCGCGATAGAATTTCTCTTCTATTTCTTTTTTCTTCTTCTCTCTTCCATCATCAGGGATGTGAAAGTCTCCAGCAGAAAGAATGTTTATATCACTCCAGTCCTTCAACTTTTTCTCTCGAATTTCTACATGTCCTCCCGTCGAACATGGCAAAAAACAATCATGATTGTCTGAAGTCTTAGTAGCATGAGTGATTGTTGTATTTACTTGATTCCATGGCATTCCTATGACACATTTATGCCCAAGTTCTTTTTTTTCTACCCTATTTCGTGCCAAAATCTGATCTTGCCATAACTTGGCTATGTGTTCATTTTCAGCTAGAAGTATCCAGTTGTCTGGTAATTTGGTCAAAACTTCATCACAAGCTTCTATCATCACCTCATAGTTTTTTGAGAACAGACATATGATTATAATGATTCTGTCTTCATCAAAGTTATCCGTATAAAATGTCAATGCATTTTGAAATGGTTTACGTCTCTTTCTGTTCCATTCTGTTGGACTCATTTCATCCATTAAACTTATTTTGTATCCATTACAAAACATCCATGAAATTCTGTTCTCATTTGCGAGACCTTCGATTAGTTTGTTAAAATCATTATATTTTTTAATTTGTCTGTCAAAATCATCAGTTGTCAAAACTCTCATTTCTTCTTCTTGAAAGTTGTCTAAATTGTTATAGATTCCACTTGTTGAACCATCAGGATCAAAGTCAAACACAATTTCTGGATGAAGGTGTTTAATAAATGACATATTTTCTTTTAAATACTCTACGTCCATATGCTCGTCTATTGGACTAGTCATGACAAAAGAAAATATTGTGTCTTGTATTACTTCGCTCCCACCTGTTAATAGGTTTAACAATTTTGTTCTCAAATTCGGAGTGTAGTCTGTTGCTTTTTGAGTTTCCTCGTATTTCCTTTGTTCAATAAGTCTTGGGTGATCCCTTTCATAATCATATTGTTTTTCTGATAAAACAACTTCTGGGAGGCCGTCCTCTGAAAATCTGAATACCACTTCTTTACACTTATGCTTCTTTAAAAAGACTGGCAAGGTTTTAAGCTTTGTTCTGATGATATCCTTATCTAGAACACGACTGCTAGGAACTACATCCACTTCAATTACATGCAAATTTTCTTTAGTTGCCCCTATAACTGGGATGAATTTTGCATCACGCACTGTGTTGGCAATTAAGTTTTTTTGATTATCTAAAAATGACTTTTTAATAAAATCATTGATCTCAGCCTGTACTTCAAGCTGCAAGAGATTTACTCCGACTATCTCTCCACATTCGTAAGTTTGACTTTTTTCTGGGCTGATGCCAAAATAAATCGTTCCATTTCGTCTATCATTTAGGCAAGCTGAAAGAAATGGAATCACCTCAGAACCTATAAATTCTATTGCCTTATCTTTATCTTTTTCATCAACTAAATGAAAATTTTTGACAGGTTCTGTTGTTTTAGCTCCAATGTTATGAGACACATCCACACAACGACCAAGATTGTATTTGTCTGTCTGTTTTACAGTTGAGTCAAACTTGCGAAAGTATTCTGGCAGTGGTTTTTGCTCCCGAGGATGAGAATATTGTTCAATGATGATAGAGAAAGTACGCCTGGTACCAAAGGATGCTGAAGGAATTTCACTTTTAAAGTCTGCTTCCTTCATGGTTAGAAATACTTTACCAGATACACCTTTTTTCTCCAGTTCTTCAAGTGGAGCAGCATCAAGGCCATCTTTCTCAAAAACTGCTTTGAGGTATTGTTTCAGTTGTGCAGGTGTCATATTTTGGATGTCTTTCAAGGATGTATCTTGAAAGAAATTGAACATTTAATTCTAGTTTAATGAACAAAAAACAAACAACCAACCTAATAGTTAAATTCCTTATATTTGAACTAGTCAGTGTATTTTTAAAATTAGCCCAAATCAATATTAATATAAACAGCATCTGAAAAAAAAAAAGAAAAATAAATCCCACATCACTGAGACAATAATCTTTTCTTAACTTACCATAAGAAGAAGTTAAGCCTGATAAAGTGTTGTCTCCCTTAGGTTCTACTGCATTAGCTGAACCTTTTTTACCTATATTTTTTAAAACTCTGTATTCCATTTAAAGAAATATTGCTTATTAAAAAAACACCAGTTTAAAAGTGCATATTCCAGTATTGTATAACTTTGGCCTAGTATTATAATTATTTAATTATTATTATTGTATTATAAAAGAATAGTTTTTAAAATATTATATAGGCCTAATTGATTTGACATTATATTTTTTAAAAAAGTTCATGTGGTGCAAATTGTCAAACACTATATTGAATTAAATGGAAAGTCTGCTTCATATTTTTATTTGGTCATTCATAAGGCTTTTGAATGAGCTGTGATTTCCAAAACACCTATTAGTGGGCCGAAGGCATGACCTAAATGATTGACAACAGGATAACAACTGCACAAACTATTGGCTGTTGGCTATTATTAATACCTCTTTCATAGTTGTTACTAAATGATCTTTTTTCTTAGTTGTTACTAAATGATCTTTTTTCTTAGTTGTTACTAAATGGTATTTTAAAAAACAATTCAAAAGATTTTAATTGAATTCCTAGAGCTTGATTTTTTAAAAATTACTAAAGATTTTGTTATGTTCTACATAGATAAGCATAATATACTTACTCAACTTAAATAGTATCTAAATCTAATTTTTAGCATCTAAAGTTTTAAAAAAATGCTATTATAAATTTTTTTTGCATTTTTTTTATTTTGTTTGTTTAAAAATTAATATATTTAATTTTCCAAAACACAAAGTTTATTATCAAAGCTAATTTTTTTGTTACTATTTCACAACACAATTAAAATTGCCTTAAAAAACCCATTCAGCTTTTATAAAAGGATACAAAACATGTTTAGCATTTTTGCCCTCCCTTTTTTTCTGCTTTATAGTCTCAACACTCAAAAATTCTTTACAAATAAACGTTTTGAGTATGTCATTACTCCATTCATTTTTACTTGTAAAAACACCTTCTGCTCTCAGCGTATCTCTTATGTCAGCAAGTAATGTAGAGCACCCTTCCTTGTTGACGTAACATTTGTGTAGCATGACACGAACACTTTCTTCTAGAATGCTGGGATCCGCTTGAGAAGGCAAATGTCTTTAATATATTTTTTTACAAGACTAACTTAAAAACATTGCAAATTGCAGCAATAATACCGACGTTTAATTCCAATGGAACAGTTTTATGTTATGATTTACAGAAATTAAAGATGGTTATATAGGCTATTTTTATATTAATTTCCACAAATATCTATCACTCAGCATGTAGTGTTCATTAGGCAATTACATCTTAAAACTTTTCTGTGACTAAAAAGTAAATTAGGTAATTTTTGTGACATCAGCACATGAAAGCATTGTATGTTAAGCACTAAATCCATTCTTTTTATTACTTTAAAATTTTCTGTTTAATTCACTATTTGTTCAATTATCATTTTCCACTGTCTAACTTTTTTTAAAAACTGAGATTTAAATTTTTGTGAAGTTTAATCACTAGCAAGGACTTTTTCTGACAACATGACAGTGGGGAGGGGGTGGGGGTAAAACGCAGCATTTCATACCACTTTTCTTTTTTGAGACATAATAAAATTGAAAAGATAATTCTAACATACGTTGAGACACCAAAGAAGTATCAGATATTGAACAGGTCTGCTCAATTTGTTCAGAAAGCCAAGCTGTTCCTTTCTCACCTCGCAATGCATCAAGAAAATTCCTTTAAATAATATAAAGGTTTAAAAAATACAGACATGTACATTTTTAAAAATTCTAAATTTTATTTAACATTGAACAATATTGGTTCTAAAGTATTTCATTAAAAAAAATTAATCTATAATGCCGAGGACTTTATCGCCGAGTCACTGGAATAGCTTTTCAATACTGTGCACGGGTCTACAATACAAATTATGCTACATTATCCAAATTATATTACATTATTTAAAAAATACTACCTATATGCTAACTTATCAGATGGTTTCTGCTGTAAAATATCAATTAGTGTTTTCATTTGCTGAGAAGGAGTACCAGATTCTTCTATTTTTATTTTCTCATGTCGAGTGATTACATCTTTCTATTTAGGAAAATTATAAAATATATAAAATATTAACCTATCTTATAAGATATATATATATATATATATATACATATATATATATGTGTGTGTGTGTGTGTATGTACATATACATATATATATATATATATATGTATATATATATATGTATATATATATATATATATATATATATATATATATATATACATATATATAAAGAATATTTTCTGATAAATTATTTTACAACACATAGGCTATAATGTATTTTAAAATTTTTCTTATTTGTGTTGACCAGGTATGGTATTAAGATTAAAAACATTTTTTGTTTTATTTTATAGTCTTACAAGAAACATGCACTTTCAATTTTTTGCAAAATTTTTATTTTAACTTTTCCCACACAACTCAAAGGACTTTGCTTTACACCTTTTCATACACATTTTAAAAATAATTAATTAAAAGCTACCAATTAAACTGTTAATAACTTACTGAGAACAGATATCCCAAAACTGAACTTGGGTAGACATCAATGATATGACTCCAATTGAGTTTTAATTTTTCCCACTCTTGAGCATTCATTACTACCAAAAAAGTTAATATAAAAAATGTTATAAACATAATTATACAAGTTATGGTTTTTTGAAACAAATATGACATTTAAAAAATTAATTCCTCAATAAAACAGTTATTTCTAAAATTATGATATATTACAAATAGCATTATTTAATTTAACGTTCGATTGCGCGATTTTAGGTGCATAAGTGTCAAATATAAACAACTAATAATTTACCGCATTGTTAATTTTTTAATTGAAAATTAAAAGAATTATTCACAGCAGTGAAAAAAATTTAGGCTGATGTAGAACTGTATGCTAATTTTTGCACTGCAGACTAATTTTAGCACTTAGCACATACAGTGTTTCTTCCAGACTTTTTTTGTCCTGGGGGGGGGGGGGGGGGAACTGCACTTGATATTTGGGGGGGGGGGGGTCAACATTTTTTTGGGGGAGCGGCGGACACTAGTAAAAGTGTATGTTTACTATATAAATTCCATCTCGTTCGGGGGGCGGTAGACTTTATTCGGAGAGATGCCCCGAAGAGATGCCTGGAAGAAACTCTGAGCACATATAATAAATATGTAAGCCATTAGCAGATTGTCCCCATGATCTGGGTTCGATTGAACCCCTGGGGTTCGGTGAGTCACTCTCAGGATCCAAGAGGTCAAGACGCACACCGGACTCAAATTATTTGCGATCGGATTTTGTCAGTGTAGACAAGGGGTCTCCAAACTTTTCAGTCCGAGGGCCGCATTAACTATCAAATTTCAGTTCGGGGACCAGTTTCTTCCAGAAATGTCTTTGATTTTTCTGGGCTAAGTTCCTCCGCCATCACCAACAAACGGTTTTTCCGTGGACAAAAAGATCTCCGCGGGCCGGATGAGAGGACATCGCGGGCCGCATTCGGCCCGCGGGCCGTAGTTTGGAGACCCCTGGTGTAGACGATAGAACTAGTGACTGGTGACAGTTCAAATGCGACAGCACGACATAGTAATAAAGTTCGCCAAGCAATATAACACGTGTTTCTATTTCGTGGAACCAGAGTTTCTTCCAGGCACCTCTTCGGGGGGAGGGGGGGGGGGGGGGATGGGGGTTCCGCCTTCCCGAAGAAAGTCTGCCGCCCCCCCCTCCCCCGAATGAAATGAAATTTATATAGAAAACATACTTTTACCAGTGTCCCCTCCCTCCTCCCCCCCCCCCCCGAAAAATGTCCGCCTCCCTTCCCCCCCCCCCCCCCCCCCGAAACACTGCCTGGAACCCTTAATATCTTAACACATTTTTGCCAGTTAAATTAATGACTAATTAGAATTAAAAGGTCTAAACTACTAATTGACTGGAGGGGGGGGGGGGGGGTGACACCCAGGCAAAAAATTTGAAACAAGAAAAATGCTTTTTTGCCAGTTAAATTAATAATTAATTAGAATTAAAAGGTCTAAACTAAAGGGGGTGATGCCATGAAGCAAACTTGCTAAATATAGAGAAAACGATGCTTCATCGACCTGTATTAACCGGCTATAGATAAACATCTTTACCATTAACTGTGGTCACTATAAAACTATCATACGTGGGGGGGGGGGGGGGGAGGTGGTACAAAAGTGGGTTGCAGAAAATTAGCCATAAGCCGCGACCAAACTAAGTAACATGGAAACTCTGAAAATCAAAAGATTGCAGAAAAAAAACTTTTTCTTACGAAATTTCGTTTATATTGAAGTATTTTTGATGAACTCTCTATTTAGAGTAAACAGTAATCGGCCGGCGTTTGGAACCATCGTGAGTTCCAAGGCTTAGTAGAACCTATGCCAAGTGAAGGCACATTTTTGGAACTTATTAAGCTACTGTCGAAGAGAGATAATTTGTTAAAATTAAAACAACATCCAATTTTCGGTGACAGAAATGCAATAGATTTAACTTAAGCCCAGGCAACAAGATATTGGATGAAAGTAAAATAGCTAAATATTTCGCATACTCGTATATTCATGTGTCGACACTAGCAGAATTAATCAATTTTCTTTGTCTCTGGGATATTTTGTCCTGATGTCCATATATATATATATATATATATATATATATATATATATATATATATATATATATATATATATATATATATACGGATTCGTGTGAAATTGCATTTTCTCAGTATTCCATTGGAACAACGACAGTGATATTGATAAGCATGGCGGCATACATTTATCTGCCCGACATATCACGTTATGTGTGTTGTTTATCGACGCTGTCCGACAAGGTTACACGGTGTACGTGGCCGGGTGTGTGCGACACTTTCGGAGACGAAGTCCTTTATTTTATTTCATGTCTAGCTAGGCTAAAGTACAGTTAACGGAAATTCAATATCTATTTTTAGAACACGGCACCTTCTCCCACCTCACTGTGTATTTATATGTAGGATCGATATTTTTTGGTTGAATGATTCTACAATCGTGACAGTATCAGTAAGGCATATAGTATAGGCATACAGTTTGTAAAAAATGGGGGACAATAACAATTAACTTGAATTAACACGGTCACACATATTTTTGCTACAGCTTTATCAAGTCCAAAAAATGAAAGACTGCCGCTTTTGTTTTTAAAAATAAAAGCTATGTAACTTTAATACTATTTTAATCTATTAGTCTGATTATCCTTCTTAAAATTGTAAATTATAGTTTAAATAATCATGTACTTAAAAAAAAATACAAAATGAAAATAGGCAAAGACTATGATACTCACTGCTTGGTTTCGCATACAAAAGACACAAAAAAAAAACCCACTAAATTACAAACACCATAATTTCACAGGAGACACCGCGAGTAGCATATAAAGAACATGACTACGCCTATTTTTTTTGTACATAGATCTAGTATTTCTTTTTACTTGTGTCTTGTTTCAGTTTCATTTCGGGCGAATACTGGACGGTGATATATTATTAAAATGTACCTGACTTTTTATTTTGGAGAAGATTGGGATACTTTCTTCAAGTAAGCTTCTTAGACAAGCTTGTTTTTGTATTTGTTACTCCAGGATACATACAGTACTGGAGTTGCAGTACGCTGTTTATTAAAGTATTTTGAATTTAAAAAATGGATTGGATGAAACGATTTTTGGGCTTTGTCTTAGCTTAAGTCGCACAGCTTCATATATCTAATCAACGCTAAGTTTGAAGATTGATTTTTGTTTTTTGTTCCATGAAAATTAATGATTAAATTTATTTTAAAAAGTCTTGGGGATCATCATTTCTCTTCATTAGTTAAAGCAGTCGGCATAAGTTGTTTTTTTTTGTTGATGTTTCTTCTGTTGTTGTTTTTTTTTTTGGGGGGGGGGGGGGTAAATTTTTTTGTTGGTGTGTGTTGACCTAGTCTTTTATTGCGCTGGGCAAGCTATCAAGGTTAAGAGTTTTTTAAATGAAAGGTCAAAGGAAACATGAACATACAACGATGTGTCTTAATAATGTATACGATCGACAACTCTAGGTGTTAAAACAAAGATATAGCACTGAATGGATTTTGTAATTTCTGATATTTTCATAGCAATCTTAGTAATTTAATGAGTAGCTTTTCGCAGATTCTGTTACGCTCGTGTCCTTATTAAAATAAGCCAAATTAGAGATTAAACGTAATACAAAAAAAAGTTTAGTTCGAAATTAAGAGTAAACGACTTTTTATCAAATTCCGTAAGTACAAAATATAGGCCTTTTGTTGGTAGATCCATCTCTATTTAGTATCTTAACAATATTTCTTTTTATAAGTAATAGTAAAATTGAAATATTTTGCAAAATAATATGCATGCATACGTAGGCCTATTCAGTACATACTTTTTTATGATTCACCGCTACCGCGCTAAAAATAACACATCGATAAGATATGAATATCTTTCCCCCCTAGGCCTGCAGCGGTGGAAAAAGTTTACTGGAAACGACCCTAACAACCACTGTTGCCTGTGGTGGTTGGACCAAGGAGTCAACAATTTTATTTTACTTTTAAGTGTGGGCAACAAAAAAAAAAAAAAAACGGTACACCGCCAAACGGCACATGACAAAAGGCCATGTTAAAAAGGAGCCATCAAAACTACCCAGTCAAAATAGCCCCATTAAAAGGGCCCCGACATATTGGCTCCCGTCTAATTGAATCGCATCATGTAGACTAGCGACATATCGTCTCCCGACAAATTGGTTCCCGAAAAATGGGCTCACGACATAAATCGTATTACTACGACATTCGACATAGATATCCAATCAACCAAACCACGGGCAGTTTCTATCTTCACTACCACTATAACATCTTTTAAATGCCCGAATAAAAAACTTTTTTATGAACCAACAGCAATTCATAAGCTAAATTCCACCAATTTAAAAATGTTGATGTTTTATTTACAACCGTAAAGATCTGTTGCAGTGGCGGAACTAGAAAAAATGGGCCAGCCCGCAAAAATTTTTTTTGGGCCCCCCATATATGTATATATATATATATAAATATATATATATAAATATATATATATATATATATATATATATATATATATATATATATATATATATATATATATATATATATATATATATATATATATATATATATATATATATATATATATATATATATATATATATATATATATAAACACACAATACGAACATAGGATACTCATTTCTTGGCCTGATCGGGTTTTGAAAAAAAAAATTCAATTAAATCTAATCACAACAACATGTCATGTGTATCAGTGGCGGAGCCCCCCCCCCCCCAAAATTTTTTTTGGGCCCCTATATATATATATATATGTATATATATATATATATATATATATATATATATATATATATATATATATATATATATATATATAAAACAAGGTTCGCTCTCAATTTTTAAAAAATTCCATCTGGTACACGAATAAATCAGAGGTTTTCCAACACACGAGCTGGCCCCTTTCTATATCTAGTCCAACACACTAAACTGAGGCTTTCATCAAAACGTTACTAACCGTGTGCCCTGTTTTCCAGAAGTTGAATTAAATGTTAACAATGTCGGCAGTTCATTTCTTTGATCTTAGGGCGCGGGTTTGTCCACACTACCAACTAGACACGCCAAGGCATGCTGTAAATCCCTCAGCGACGGCCCAGGTGTCAGGGGAGTCACGGGGCTCTTGGAGCTACCGGTTACATTACTGCACGGGTGATGGGTGTGACACATTGTTTCTTCCGGCAGAGCTCCCCCCCTCCCCTCCCCCGAAAACAGTCTACCCTGGAAGAAACATTGGTGCGACACCTAATTAGATTTAGTCATCGAGTGTAGTAGCGAGACTTATTCCTAGTGTTGTGGGAACTTTTAAACGACTGTCTGTGGGGGCCAACTTGCTCATATGTGATGCGCTCAGGATGACACTGACGCCAGTTGTATTCAAGTAGTAACCTCATCCGCTTATGCAGGGTCACGGGGCGCTAAATCACATATTTCCGTTAGGGGTCCCCACTCAAATATGTACAAAAGTTAGGCCTATGACAGAAACCTTTGCGGGGCTGTACTCAACAGCTTCCCAAGTTTTCATGGCGATTGGGTGAATGATGCAGTAATGCATAATAATAATAGAGAGAAAAATGTTTTTCACATGTACAACTGTATGTGGCCAGGTCACGCGTTGGATAACCTTCTGATTTAGGGGAGGGGGGGATTAACAAAAAGCCTTACCCTCACTCACCCCCACCTCAATGACTATTAATAATGTCCAATTAATTCTAAACGTTCTAATTAATTTCTAAATAATTATATAAAAATAATCTTACCTGCCCTGTTTTGTGAATTAGATGTGCCTAATACTAGGAAAGTAAATTAATATGTGTTGACTACATCTAGTGCTGTCTAGTGTCTGACAAAATGTGCTGAAGTGGTGAATCGTACGGTTAGGAAGTAGTTCATAAACGATACATTTATCTCCTCGATACTTGTGAGGTTGAGAAAGAGGGATGGGATAGGGGTCGGCTCGGGAAAAAACTCGAAAGGGACAACAAAACGCCTTGATCTATGTATGTCAGCATCGCCCATTGTAAAACTTACTCAGGGGAGATAATATAATTTGAAGTATAGGCCTTAAAAGTTTACTATATTTCTTGTAAAATCAAAAACAAGTAAACGTATATAAAACTGAAGTTTCTAGTATTATATTATTTTTTTAAAATTATTTGTACGATACAAGATAGTACAGGATACAAATTCAACCACTATCACAAACACATATTAACATTGAAAAATGTACAATGGATTTCGGGTCCCCTACCAATGCCGCAAATAAGAACTGCGCATCATGAAAGTATTGCAAGCCCACTTTATATGTAGCGGCTCTTCGTGCTATGGACTTTGTTGTTTTTTTAAAAAGAATTTTGCCGGCGACAGCGTGTGTTTGATTGTAGGGAAATAGAACTCGGCCTTGACGATGGTTAAAAAATACAACTATAAATAACTGTTTTAAATATGTAAAGAATTTGTCGACAATTTTTTAACCCCCTTTTTGGTCCCCATCCCCTGCCCCATCCGCCACAGTATACTTTGGAGGATCGGTCAAACAGTTACGTGTCCTCTATTTAGCTATCAAAGGGAGGGGGGGGGGGGCAACGAGTCAAAGAAGTCATTCAAAATTTGAAGAGTTGCCTATATTTTACACTGTAGTTTGTGTAATGGATTTTATCTTTTGCGGAAGAGCGTGGTATAGTGACTGTAAAATAAAGATAATCGTACCGCAGCTACAGTGTTTTTCTTTTACAAACCAAATATTAAGGCAAAAATTAAATTCAAAATTTAAAAAAAAAAAAATTTGGTCAGCCGTGGGCCCCTAAACGGCCTCCCCCCCCCCCCCCCCCCCGCGCATTGCGGGGTCTGGCGGGACTGTAGTTCCGCCCATGTTCATCAGGTAAATGAACAACTACTGACTAGTGTCTTTAACAAAATGTGCAGAAGTGGTCAGTTTACAGTTCATAGACGGTTCGTTAATCTATGCATTACATCTTATTGTAAGAGTAAGGGTGTGGTGAGGGGTAGAAGTGAGGGGTAGTGGGGGAGGGGGGGGGGGAGAGAGTTGGGAAGGGAAGGGGACAAGAAAGCGCCGATAAACATCTACATCAATAGTGCCGACTTTTTCCGATCGTCTAGAAGACCAGGATAGTCGCCTCGCCGCAACATTTCCCCAGCCCGATTTCAAAGCGTACCGGCACAGTCAAATTTCAGATGCTTCGTCTTTGAAGTTGTCTATATGTCTGGCGGTCTCTCGAGCTATAGTCAATGCATTTTTCTCAAAGACGTTTGCCGACTATCGTGTTTGTTTGTAACTGTAGAAGAAAGATAACTCGACATCCACCTATTTTTTTTTTTTTTTTTTAAATAATTTAGCCAGGATTTTTGGGCCCCCAATTGGTCTGGGCCCCCCCGCATTGCGGGGTCTGGCGGCACTGTAGTTCCGCCCCTGATCTGTTGCTTAAAAGCGAGCACAGAAGTGTAAATGTATGTTATAACATGATGTTTACAGGATAACAGCATTTTGTTTTGATAACATACAAGCATACTGTAGGTAAATATTCAGCAAGGACCTTTCTCCCCACACACGGAGTTAAAGCAGCCCATAACCGACTCATTTGATGGAAGTCGTAGCTAGATGACCCTTATATTTAAAACATACTATTTCTTATAATAGATAAAATAGTATAAAAATAAGGCCTGCCGAACAATAGATGCATACGTTTTATTATTTAAACGAGTTGGCTAAGCTAACTTTAAATGAAGAGAATTAATGAAAGGGTCACACAGGGCGATGTCAAATTCAATGCGACCGTTT